AATCACTCAAGCATTTTCTGACGAGTAATGTGAGGGACTGAAGCGGCAGATCTCATATATTTGATATCCAAGGGCATTGACACAAAGCAAGAGAGTTTTCTGTATATATGTGACGAACTAAGTGTTGCGGTAATTCGCTTCAAGAAGGTCCCCATTATTGGCCCGTGATCGGACACAAAGGCGATATTCCATTACTAGGCATATTTCCATTGGTCCAATAGATCTTACATTTCCTGATAAATATTGCGAGGGATAGGAGCGGATGGTCTCATGTAGTTGTTTTCCAAGAACAATGCAAAACAACGAAGCCCCCTTTTTAGAAATAACGTCATGGACAAAAGACAGGAGCTGAAATCCCCAAAGCGCGTTGGCCAAAGAACGGCTTTCCCGTGGATCGATATTTTAGTAGGGGTAACGGGTATTTGAAAAAATCCATTGAAAAACCGGTAGAGCTTTGGGATGCTCACTGCGCTTGTCTGCTCGGAGCAGCAAAACATCCCATGTTCTAGGTCGAGTCTATTTTTTCTTTGTTTCATATTGCTACAACGTTCCTAGCAACGTCCAAACCTCCATCCTCACCATTAGCTGGGGCCATCCCCACCTCCACCTCCTCCCGCTTCTTCGTCTGAGACTCCCGCGGCCGTGTTCGCTCTTCCCGCCATATGTAGCGCTGTATATTTCAAGCCCCCAGCTTCCTTCATGAACTTAGCTTTCTTGGCTTCGGTACTCTTCCTTTTGAGCTCGATGTCTTTTTGGCGCCTCTGAAAGTAAAGCTGTGGCCCATCATATATTCCCGGGAAGGAAACCCAAAAAAAGTCACGTTTGGATATGGGTAAAAATCGTCCGCGGGCTTCTCCACATTTCTTCTGCCTCACCTCTTTCTCTGCTCTCTCCTTCATGTTCCGGGGCTGCCCCCGCACGACCCCGTCCTCGCCCATCACCTTGAAGTTATGAAGCAAAACCTCGTTCAGCGCCGTCAGCTGTCAGCGACGACGGGAAAAAGAGAGAGGGGAAAGGGGTCAACGAGGGCCGAAAACACCATCCAGACTCCTAACCACCTCGCTTTCTTTCATCCTCGTCGTCTTCCGTGTCCCTGTCCCCCGGAGATGCATCAGAACAATCCTCCTGAGGTCGCCCGCCTCTTGCATGCCCACACGTCACGCAATCCCTTCCTCCCCTGCCTCCTGCCCTCCCCACAGTACCCATAGATCTCGCTGCGCCTCCTCCGCCGCCTCGATCTCAAGAAGCACATCCCCTGTCTTAGACAGGACCGTCATACTCTTGGCGCCTGAGTACGCGCACACAAGGAGAGAAGGAGCCTGGGGTTCAACAACATAATGCATGGTCCGTAGGGGAGAGGCTAGGGACGCGGACGGCAACACCAACATCCCACAGGTCCACTCCCATACCCTGACGCAATCCAACCATTGGAACGGCCAAGCTAACACGTGCGCTTGTTCTCCGGCTCCCTTCGCGCCCCTCCCTCCCTCCCTCCCTCCCTCCCTCCCTCCCTCCCTCTCTCCCTCCTGACCGTTGGCGTCGATGGATTTGATGTCCCCAGCTTGGATTTCTGTGCCCGCCGTGCGCATGTCATCAGCCTGCCTGTTGGGAAAAGACAAAGGAAAACCACCCCCGGCGCCCCACAAGCAGGGCCGGGAGGGAGGAGATGTCACTCGGTCGCACCTTTGCCAAACGGGACTTGTCCCCCCCCAGAAGCACGCGGTCAGCCTACGCAAAGATTGCCACGGAAGGGAAGGAGGTGTAGGGAAGGAGGGAGGGAGGGAGGTACCTGTAAACAAGGGTGCAATTCCCTTCCTCCTGCTTGACGCGCACGAACACCTTCTTGGTCTGGAGCGCGAACCCGCCCAGGGTGAAATTCCTCTTCTTGAACGTGGCTCCGCTTTCGACAACCTGGAAAGAAAAGAAGCAAGGAAGAGGGGCCGGGGATGAGAGGGAGGATGGATGGAAGGAGGGAAAGGAGGGAGGGAGGGAGGGAGGGAGGGAGGGAAGAAGGGAGGGAGGGAGGACTAATGGGGATGCAACATTGCGTGGCGTGGATTCTTCGGCCGAAGCCAATGAGGCAATCAGTTAATCCCTGTACCTCTCGACGTTTCAACCGCTCTTGTGTTTCGTGGGGAAGGAAGGGCTTGAGGCATTCGAAGCAGGCCTGATCATGAGGAGAAGAAAAGGGACAAGGCGGAGTGGAAACTAACTACTTGACGGGCCAGGAACAACAGACTCGTGTCAATAAATACCCCGGAGATGTACACCCAGGGGTGGTTATTGCGTCATGGCATGTACATTGACGGTGCAACTCTTTTGCGGTAGACATGGAGGAAAGAGAGGGTAGGAGGTCGACAGGGAGGCATTTACCTGTATACGAGCAAGGAAATAGACCGCCAAATCCATCCTCTCACCCTAAATCACCAGGAAGTAGGAACGAAAGCCCAAGAAAAACGGATGGACTAGGTGATTGGTCCTTTTCTCTTCGTATCATTCTTTGACCGTCATCTGTCGTGCATGAAGGAGCGTAGAGGGGATAAGAGGCTTCAGGCGCTCTTCAAGGCCTTTCCTACCAATTCATACCGATTTTGACCAAGACACTGTTTGCACACGAAATGAAAGGACTCTGAACGCGTGTTTCAAATCTCGCGACAGAGATGGAGTGGATATAATCCTTTCACATTTCATCCGTCAAAGCGCCGACAAGTGTGTCCTCAACTCCCCAACTCAGCGTGACTCGTAAAAGGATGCGATGCACCACAGCCTACATCATTTAAACCATGCACATCAACGCGGACCCCACCCATGCCACCATGCGTCACGTCCCGACACGACGTGGGCCCCATGGCATAGGCACGGGCGCGGTGCGTCTGGTTTTTGAAGATTGAGCCGCCTGGTTGCAGAGCATCGCTTGCGATCGCTTTTTTTGGTATTGCCCGTTCCGTCGTCGTCCCTGTCAAATTGACTTGTACACACCCATGGCCCGTCCTAATGCAGGAGGCCAGGCGATATTTTGCCCTTCCCCAAGACCCGTTCGTTGTTTGTGTAGTGTGGGTGGTGTGCGGGGCATTTCTTGACAATTTTGGCTGTCTTGAGTCGAGCTGACATTTTCTAAGGGAGGTATACCTCTTCGCCCTCCTTAAATTTTACACCGGGCTTTCTGTACGCTTTCCTCATCAATTTAGACACACCACAGGTCCGCTTTCCCCTGTAGTAAAAAACTGAGAACATTTGAATAGATAGCCAGGACAGATTAAAGGCATTTCCTTCGCCTGATTGTGGACATCTACATTTTTTGCGACTGTCAATCCCTCTCTCCCTCGGCGACCCGCACAGAGAGAGAGAGGACGATCCAGCCTTATTTGCTTCAAAACCTTCCGACACCTGCCCATTCTGGCGCTACACACCCGTCACAACAAGGAGAACATCCTTTCGGGCTCCCTTTGTCCTTCCGCACCCACAGCCAAGACCATGGACACGGTCTGTAAACGGAGTGCTGCCTGTCGATGCCCCGACTGTGCGGCGGCATCTGCTGCATTTTCCATCGACGATTTGCGGGCCCTGGCCCCTTCCCGTAGCGTCTACGACGACGACGACAGTGGAGACACGTCGAATCCACCGCCTCCATCTCGTCCTGTTTGTGCTTCTCCGTCAGGGGCAGCACCCCCTCTTGTGCCGGGCCGGCACCCGCGCCGACACCAGGGAGCCGACCCTGTGAAGACAGAGGGGGAAGCTGTGGCGGTGCCATATCCCACGCGCAAAGGTGAGACAAGGAAGGATGTTAAAATGCACCCTGTTTTCCCACGAGACGCGCCAAATGGATGCCCCCAGGCCGGTTGAACCCATCTCCCTTTCTCCCTCCCTCCCTCCTTCCTTCCCTCCTCCCCTCCCTCCCTCCCTCCCTCCTCCCCTCCCTCCTCCCCTCTCTCCCTGCGCCAGGCCCCATGCGCCGCTCCTCCAGCGAGCCCGAAGATCCCATTCCCGTCCCCCCCCCTGCCTCGTCGCCCGCCCCGGGCAGCGAAAGCCGACAGGGACAACCCTCCCCACCTTCCAAACTCATCACACACACGACCGGCCCCCCGGCGTCGACGACGGGAATGCCCACAGCTCCGAATGAATACGCCGAGCTTCTCCCTTCCTCCGCCCGTGGCCCCCCCAGGAGGCCCCCCGCCTTCCCCTTCCTCCCTCCCCATCGGTCCCCCGGCGCCCGGTTGTCGCCA